GCGAACACCACCCCGGTGTTTTCCGTCGCTTCACACGTGTTTCTTTACATGTGCAGGTACAACAGATTGCTAGTGGCCTCAACCTCACAGGATCAATCCTTCCTTCCGTGCCAGTAGATTTTTACGTCTACAGGGTCTACCTTCAATTGAAATATATGTAGATGTGTCTTTTAAAATTCAGACAATATTTTCATATTAGGAAACTCTCTACAACAATAAAATGAAGTTTTTGTGAGGAATTTTATTTATTTATTTTGTGACAAGTGCATAAATATGCCATAAATAGTATAAAAGTCGTAAGAAATTATAAAACTGTTGTGAAAAGTTTTTGAGAAGGTATTTCTTTGACCAAGTTGTGACGAACTTAATTCAGATTGCAAATAAAATAGAACGTATATATAGAAGAGAGAATGAAAATGAATAATATATACACATGATAAAAATAATGGAGAGAAGATAGATTAATAATATTGAATTTTTTTTTTTTTTTTTTTTTTTTAATTAGATCTTTGATAGGGAAGTTGAGATTAGTAACTCAATGTATAGTGTATCCATAACATAATATAAACTTAGATGAGAAAATGTTCAATGTAATTACTTTATTATTATACATTGTGTTTACCAACTTCACATTATATTTTATATGTAAATTTACATTAAAATTCATAGAAAGATTTTGATCTACTTTATTTCTCATGATATCAATACTTATTAGTCCATCTAAAAGATGTTATTTATTTTACTTTTCATGTAAGATTACTTATCAAAAGGCAAAAAGACATTTGGACATGATTTACGACAAGCTTTAATTAAAAATAATTATGAAAAAATTAATTAAACATCATGGGAGCAAATAGCATTCGAGATTATCATGAACACATCTCAAGATATACTTATAGAATACCACAATTATTGATTTTAAGTTCGCATTCTGTATTTCTGTTCTCTTTGTCTTTTAATTAATCAACGACGATGAGCTTTGAATAGTATAATAATATGCTTAATTTGAACTTTTGGGGACAGCACAAAGTGGCTTCTCTCAGTATTTAGTACTTTCTATGTAGAATTTTAAGTTTCAGCGTATCTCATTAAAGTATTTAAATTTATTGATTTTGATGATTGTCTCTCCAACTTATTCGATAAATAATTTCCATTCACATTTGCATGATACTTGTACGTAGATTGGTTTAGTTCTCTTAATCAAGCAAAAAATAAATTATTATTTTTTCCTGAATTTCTCTCTCCCTCTCTGTCTCTTTATTTCCTTTTTTTCTAAGACAAAATTGAGAGCATCAAATCTATCTACTTTCTTCATAAGTTTGATTGAAGAAGGCACTGAAATTGACATGCAATTTAATAGAGACGAAAGAAAAGAAAGAAAATTCACATGCTTACTGACAATTTAATGTGGGCACGGTGAATGCATCACTATAATTTTTTTGAATTAAATTACATAGTGATATATAAAAGTTGATATTTTTCAGGTGAATAAATAACTTATTTACCCATCATAATTATAAAATATTTTGTTGCACATCATGGAGAAGCATATTCATAAACGGATATACCTTGCCATGCTTCAATTTATATCACGGACAAATGGTTCAAATTTTACCTTATGTTACAAGCACTTTCCTCCACATGCATCAATGATATCGAAATTGCCATTTTCATTACCTCTTAGTATTGAATGCGTACAACTTCTCATACCAATAAACGTTTTGGGACCATCTACTATCATCCTTTCTACATCATCAATTTTTCCGAAGTGCAAAAGTCTCTTATGAAGCACATGAACTGACATGTTTTACACGTATATGTATCTATCTCATTGAGGATTTCTCTAATAAAAATACTATGGTATATCTTATTATAGTATAATCAACCAATTAAAAAATAAGTATGTTCCACTCATACTAAAGAGACATATTCTCATTGGCTGATTGTATTGTAATTAATATGATCAATATACAAAAGGTTTTCTCTTTTTCTATAATTGAAAGTTTTTCTTCTATAAATGTACTTTGTATTACTAATTAATTATAAAACATTTAAGATCATTGACAACATAAAATATTTTCCAAGTTATATTTTAGAAGAATATATTTGTTATGTTGTTGATTCACTTGGGGCAGAACATGGCTTAGGCCAACTAGACCCTACATGAAATTTTAGAATTGAACATATGAATATATCAATTTCATCCCCTAAAATTTATTTTATTATTTTGCCATTATACGTATATTTAATTAAGCTATTATGTTATTAAATTTGTCGTGAAACTTTGGCATCAGTTAAAGAGTGATGAAAAAACACGAGGTGTGCCTAACTGGGCTCCAAGTGGGGCAAACTTTACTTGCAATATCAAGGTTCGAACCGCATAGAAGCCTTTATGGCCAAGGTACTTACCTGGCCCCATTGGGATTAGTCTAAACATTGGGTATGGGGGAACACCCCTTTTTACTTACATTAGATATGTGTACAAAAGCTAACGAAAATGAAAAAAAAAATATATATTTTCATACTTTTTTATATCTTGCACACGGATGACAATAAGAAGGAGGAGTGAAAAAGAACTGCTATAAATATGTGTTTCTAGCACACCTCATGATATTGAACAGCTTGCTATAAACTATTCATTCTAATTAAAAATATTTTTATTACGTCTAAAATCATTCTTAATATTTTAAAAAGCATTAAATCGTTTTTAAAACTTACAAAGAAGGAAAAGATAGAAATGTGGAGATATAGTGACAACAATCATATGGAAACAACCACTAGGGACCCAATTGACAGTCAGGTTTGAACTTTGAAATCCTGTTCAAGTAATTATCATGAAGATGTTTATCTCTTTTGCAAATAAAATCAACATTGGAACTTCCCAAATTCTACAGAAATAATGAAATAATTTACATTACCTGTTTGCATTGAGCGGCCTGGCACCAACAGGCTTGAAAGAAGAAGACTTGGCGTGTTAAAGCAAGTAGAGCCACAGCCAACACAGCCAGTGCAAGGAACCCAAGCGGCATTTACTGGTATCCATAGCCATGGCATGGTTTGAGCAGGGGTTCAGATCTTCGCCCTAACAATATAAGTAGGGCTCTGGATTATCTGCCGGCCGGAGGCAATCGGCACCACTGATTTTCGGCCACAAGGCTGGACAAAAACTGCAGGCGGGCCTGGTCTTTGCCTGCATTTGCAGCACATTTTCTCCCCGGACACGGGCTGGAGGGTCTGAAGGGAGAGCAAGGGCTGAAGACATGGAAAACCTGGAGGGTTGAGCCGCGGTCAGGGATGTTGCATTTGGGGTTGAGACCGTGGGAGAGGGTGAGAGAAGAAGAAGAAGAAGAGGAGGGGTTGGGAGAGGAGATGGAGCTTCAAGCTATGGATAATTAAGTTTGGTTTGTGAAGAGGGGAAGAGAGAGGTTTTTATAGAGGAAGAAGGTATGGGAGTGAGAGTGAGAGTGGCGAGTTTGGCAAACAGACTGTATTCCATTTACTTTTGTAGGTGGCCTCTTATGCTGGTGTCCATTCTACATAGAATGGTATCTTTTTTCTGTATACTTGTTTTATTGGATTTTTTTTATATGATATTATTTCTTATAATGAATAATAGAAGAAAAAAAAAATATCCATGGTTGACTAGTACATATAGTTATTTTTTCTTAAAATTTTGCTATAAAATTAAACATGGAATGTAAATAGGGAAATTGTAGTCTATTTCAAAGGGAGTCTGTAGGGCCAAAAATCATCCTCGGCCCCAATAAGAAAACGGGCCTGACAAGGAAGAAGCCAGCCAATCCCGGCCCATTTCCTAGGCCCATGGGCGAATCCAGGGCCCAAGGCCTCAGAATATTTTCCTATTCTCGAGCAATCTCCTATTCAGGTCACCTTCCCGACTTACACTTCCTACTCGAAGTTGATCTCCTAATCAGAATCACCTTCCTATCCGGACATTGGTAAGACAGCCTATCAGGGCTCTATCTTCTAGGGTTTGTATCAGAGTTACATTAGGACTCCCTACTCCCACCAGGATGGAGAGACCAGACATTTGTCATGAAGGCCTCAATTGATGCTTACATACCAATAATCAAACGTCTAGTGATTATTAATCAAATGTCATATGGAGTATGTAACTTAGGGTGAAGTTATGATATGGATTTGATAATATTATTGGACCATTAATATAATCGTAAAGATCAAATTATCAATAATCATCTAAGTTAATTAGTGTTCAGTAATGAGTCGATTATGTCATGCAAATACATCTTTCATTATTTAAGATCATACAAACAACATAGTAGACGCAAGCCACTATTAGAGTTTACTAGTGGATAGTGTTACTCCTAATGAAAATATTGAATTAATCAATGTTTAAATATACCTAAATAAAAAGTTTTGAAATATAATTCTACCAATTTTGTTGTTTTTCAAAAATAAGTTTGAATAAACTAAGTTTAATATAAAACTAAGTTGTACGTTAATATTTTTAATAAAGAAAGATATATTTAGTATAATATTTTTAAACTATTTTCAAAACTAGAAGCTATAGAAAACAGAAAATTACTTTTTTTTTTCTAATTTATTTAAATTTTACATCTAACATTCAATATTGAAACCAAGTTTAGGATAAATTTAGGGTCTTATATATAACGAATTAGTTTATTAGAATTAGAAAATAACACTTTAATACCCATCCGAGGATTTAAATGAGTTAATATATAAATTTTACAAGATTAAAGTCTTCAATTTCAGGGGTTAAAGTGTTGATTTCTTAGATCACTTCCCAAACAAATACTATTACTGACCTCAAAAGTCAAATCCAACATAAAAGGTTGCGGTACAAAAATGATTAAAGAAACATGTTTTAGATATTACTCCCTCCCTTTTCTTTTTAAGCCTTTCAGAAAGTTTTCCCTAAAGAAAGGAGACGTGGGTCAGAGAAACATTAAAAAAGAAAAGACAATCTAATTTATTTTGGAAAAAGTTACTCGAAATAATAACTATAAAGAAACCAGGGGGTGTATTATTGATTGATTAGAATTATTTTAACAAAAAAAAAGTACATGAAAGACTTCTAGTCACCCGTGACATAAATTATCATCATCTTGAAGAAAATGCAAACACCTGGACAAATACAGAGAACCCGTGACAAATCACGAACCCATTACAAAAAGCTACAAAATAATTTTAATTTGGCCCTTTTTCCTCTTAAAAATTAGTACCAAACAAACACGAAAAGCCATCAAACTCAGCTGCAGGGCTCACGGGCCACACCGAGCCTGGAATTGGGTACATCGAAAAGAAACCTGTGGTTTTGTTGCTGCATGTTGGCTATCACATTCAGCACTGAGTTCACATTGTCAGGGGCCGCAGCCATTGCTAGGCATGTGATGCTGCCTGCTGTGCTGTGGATTAGCAGGTTGTCTTGTGGGAGTGTCACATTCATCCCCGAGAACATCAAGGTTATCGTTGGTGCAACTATTGGGACCGAATAACACGTGTCGAATCCACCTAGGGTTGTCACTGTTAAGTTTCGGCCAACCCGTTTCCGAAACTCGTCTCTCACTGCAATGTATGCTGGTGTGACTAGCCGGGTGAAAACCGTGCCTGATTACCATAATAATAAAGAAAGGTCAATACAATTAATAATTGTCACAATCACGACTACTGATAATATATATGATTCCAACGAACCCATTTATATCCCTTTTTTGGCTCTTAGCTTTAGATATTTTGTTTTTTCCAGCAGTACAAAGAAAATGTGACATTAATTGACTTAAAACTAGTGTCCAATTTCATCCCACAATTTTTTGTCCACATTAAAAGAACATAACTAATTTGGACCAACCATTACCTAGACATGGAATTGAACCCATCTTAGTATAAATTTCTATTAACATCCCTAAGCATAAGATATGTACCTTTATTATAGAATAAACAAAAAATAAATTGAGAAAACAAAAACATTACCAGAATCAATGATGGTTCCTGAACCAGTAGTGGGATTGAATGCAAAAGCAGTGGGTGGGATATCAACAACTTTTCTTCCAACCCTAATTGCCATCAAATTCACATAGTAAAGTGAAGATCTTCTTGGGTTCTTCAATAACGGTGTGTACTTGATCCTCTTGGGCTGGCCAATGGGCCCAAGTCTCAATGACCCAGAAAAGTTGACGGACTTGAAGCTAGGAAGGCAGTAAGAAAATGTGGATTGGTACAAGTTTTGGGTTTGGGACAGAAGCGATAGCGGGCCACGGCCAAGGCCCAATAGACCTTGGGGAGGCACAGAGCTGCCTGTGGCTTTTGCTATGCAGCCAAAGGTGTATCTGAAGATTGAATCAGTGGCTAGAGTGATGTTGTCTTGTGAGAGGTTGGCTGCGACGGTGGAGCTACCGTAGGTGAGGTTGAATGAGCAGGTGGTGCCGCCGCAAGTGGGGTTTGGTACCTGAAATTTCATGTGCATTGATTGTTAGTGTCATTATGTGATCTTGTGAAGTCATGTGAACTTTCTATGTTTGGAAAGTAGCTTGTAATATTTTGTCACCCGTGAACCTTTTGGCATCAGTTAAAGAGTGATGACAAACCACGAGGTGTAGTAACTGGGCTTCAAGTGGGGCCAACTTTACTTGCAATATCAAGGTTCGAACAACACTGGAAGCACTTTGTGGCCAGGGGTACTTACCTGAACCCCGAGGCCAGGGGTTCGGGTAAGTACCTCGAGGCCAGGGGTACTTACCGAACCCCGATTGGGATTAGTCTAACACATTCGGGTATGGGGAGACCCACCCCTTTTTTACTTACCATTAGATATGTGTACAAAAAGCTAACGAAAATGAAAAAATATATATATTTTTTTTCATACTTTTTTTATATATTGCACACGTATGACAATAAGAATGAGGGAGTGAAAAAGAACTGTTATAAATAGTGTTTCTAGCACACCTCATGATATTTGAACAGACTTGCTATAAACTATTCATTCTAGTTAAAATATATTTATTACGTCTAAAATCATTCTTAAAATTTTAAAAAGCATCTAAATCGTTTTTAAAACCTTACAAAGAAGAAGGAGATAGAAATGTGTAGATATAGTGACAACAATCATATGGAAACACCCACTAGGGACCCAATTTGACAGTCAGGTTTGAACTTTGAAATCCTGTTCAAGTAATTATCATGAAGATGTTTATCTCTTTTGCAAATAAAATCAACATTGGAACTTCCCAAATTCTACAGAAATAATGAAATAATTTACATTACCTGTTTGCATTGAGCGGCCTGGCAACCAACAGGCTTGAAAGAAGAAGACTTGGCGGTGTTAAAGACAGTAGAGCCACAGCCAACACAGCCAGTGCAAGGAACCCAAGCGGCATCATTACTGGTATCCATAGCCATAAGCATGGTTTGAGCAGGGGTTCCAATCTTCGCCCTAACAATATAAGTAGGGCTCTGGATTATCTGCCGGCCGGAGGCAATCGGCACCACTGATTTTCTGGCCACAAGGCTGGACAAAAACTGCAGGCGGGCCTGGTCTTTGGCCTGCATTTGCAGCACATTTTCTTCCCAGGACACGGGCTTGGAGGGTCTGAAGGGAGAGCAAGGGCTGAAGACATGGAAAACCTGGAGGGTTGAGCCGCGGTCAGGGATGTTGCATTTGGGGTTGAGACCGTGGGAGAGGGTGAGGAAGAAGAAGAAGAAGAGGAGGGGTAGGGAGAGGAGATGGAGCTTCATAGCTATGGATAATTAAGTTTGGTTTGTGAAGAGGGAAAGAGAGAGGTTTTTATAGAGGAAGAAGAGTATGGGAAGTGAGAGTGAGAGTGCCAGAGTTTGGCAAACAGACTGTATTCCATTTACTTTTGTAGGCTGGCCCTCTTATGCTGGTGTCCATTCTACAATTAGAATGGTATCTTTTTTTCTGTATACTGGTTTTATTTGGACTTGTTTGTATATGATATTGTTCTTATAATGAATAATAGAAAGAAAAAAAACAAATATCCATGGTTGACTAGTAACATTAAGTAATTTTTCTTAAAATTTGCTGTTAAATTATAAACATGGAATGTTAAAAATAGGGGAAATGGTCTCCGTTTGGTTCAAAATTTAGGGGTTTTGGGAAAAAGTTTTTTGAAAAAAGTTAAAAAAAATTGAATGGGGCGGGTATACGATGTAGGATTATAAATTAACTAAAAACCCATATATTTATTTTTTTACAAAATACCCCCTATAATAAAACATTAAAAGTTAACAAAAATACCCCTAACCCACCCTCAAACACCCCAGTCGGCCACCACCACCGGAGGTGGCCGAAGTCACCTTATGGGCGCATGACGCGCTGGATCTTGCTGGTCATGCGCCGATATGGCCTTTCCAGCCAGATCCATGGTGGATCTGGGGCAAAGGCCGATCTACGGCCAGATCTGGCCCGTCAACCGTAGATCTGACGTATTTGCTCTCAACGACGGCCAACAAACGGTCGTCGTTGATGGTCAACGACGACCGTTTGTGGCCGTTGTGACCGACTGTTACGGCCAAGATCTGGCCGTCAACGGCCAGATCTTTGGCCTTAGATCTGGCCTTTTCTGGCCAGATCCACCGTGGAGCTGGCCGAAAAAAGGCTAGATCGGCGCACACCGGCCAGATTCAACCGGTAGTGCGCCATCCTACCAGATTCCGGCCATTTTCCGGTGGTGGTGGCCAGAATTGATAAATGTGAATTATTGGGGTGTTTTTGTAATTTAAAAAAAAATTTAGGGGTATTAATTAAATTATCAAATTTAAGGGGTTTAAAAAAGTTGAATAAATTGAGAGTAGTATTCCAAAAAATCTGAGGTTTGGGTATTTTACGGTTTAACTTTTTAGGAATACTAAAAGTAGTATTCCCAAAACATGAAACAAACACCAGCCATTGTGTTTACCAACTTAACATTATTTTATATGTAAATTTACATTAAATTTCATAGAAAGATTTTGATCTACATTATTTCATGATATCAATACTTATTAGTCCATCTAAAAGATGTTAGTTTATTTTACTTTTCATGTAAGATTACTTATCAAAAGGCAAAAAGACATTTGGACATGATTACGACAAGCTTTTATTAAAAATAATTATGAAAAAATTAATTAAACATCATGGGAGAAAATAGCATTCGAGATTATCATGAACACATCTCAAGATATACTTATAGAATACCACAATTATTGATTTTAAGTTCACATTCTGTATTTCTGTTCTCTTTGTCTTTTAATTAATCAACGACGATGAGCTTTGAATAGTATAATAATATGTTAATTTGAAAACTTTTGGGGACAGCACAAAGTGGCTTCTCTCAGTATTAGTACTTTATGTAGAATTTTAAGTTTCAGCGTATCTCATTAAAGTATTTAAATTTATGATTTTGATGTTGTCTCATCCAATTTCGATAATAATACCATTCAAATTGCATGATATCAGAACGAGAGTACGAGATTGTTAGTTATTAATCAAGCAAAAAATAAATTTTTTTTTTCCTGAATTGCATCTCTCTTGTCTCTATTTCCTTTCTTCTAATACTTTCTTCATAAGTTTGATTGAAGAGAGGCACTGAAATTGACATGCAATTTATAGAGACGAAAGAAAAGAAAGAAAAATGCACATGCTTCTGACAATTAATGTGGGGCTGATGAATGCATCACTACTAATTTTTTTGAATTAATTACATAGTGATATATAAAGGTTGATATTTTCAGGTGAATATAGAACTTATTACCATAATAATTATAAAATACTTTGTTGCACATCATGGAGAAGCATATTATAAACGGATATACCTGTGCCATGCTTCAATTTATATCACGGACAAATGGTTCAAATTTTACCTTATGTACAAGCACTTCCTCCACATGCTCAAGATATCGAAATTGCCATTTTCATACGCTTAGTATGAATGCGTACAACTTTCTATACCAATAAACGTTTGGGACCATCTACTATCATCCTTTCTACTCATCAATTTTTCCGAAGTCCAAAAGTCTCTTATGAAGCACATGAACTGACAGGTTTTACACGTATAGATCTATTCATTGAGGATTTCTATAATAAAACTTATGGTGATTTATTATAGTACAATCAACCAATTAAAAAATAAGTATGTTCCAATCAACTAAAGAGACATATTCTCATTGACTGATTGTACTGTAATTAAATGATCAATATACAAAAGGTTTTCTCTTTTTCTATAATTGAAAGTTTTTCTTCTATAAATGTACTTTGTATTACTAATAATTATAAAAACATTTAAGATCATTGATAACATAAATATGTCCAAGTTAATTTTAGAAGTAATTTGTTTGCTGTTGATTACTTGGGGCAGAACATGTGTTAGGGCAACTAGACCCTACATGAAATTTTAGAATTGAACATATGAATATATCAATTCTCCCTAAAATTTATTTTATTATTTTGCCATTATACGTCTATTTAATTAAGCTATTATGTTATGAAAAGTTGTCGTGCTTATATATCTATTATCATAATATGTCATTTTCATCAATTTATCATATTATATTATTTTTATTATTAAAATGTATCATCAATATTAATTATTGTACATAACAAATTAAAACATAATAACTTATATTTTTCAATGTAATCATAATGATTATTAAGAGTAGAATTTCAATTATAATAATAAAATACTGGTAAATGTGCTAACTATGTAATCAACGTGATATATCAATGTTATCTCATATCGTTAATCAAGTGATCTTACGTATGAGAATTAATCATTAGCTTATACTAGTTTATATAATTAGCATTTTATTGATTATATGGTAAATAGACTCATTCCATTTTGTCTTTGGGGTTGATATAAAGTATATTGTGCATTTCTTTTATGATAATTTATGTCATGATAATATATTATGTAAACCTTACTTTTGATAATTTAGTAAATATTACAATATTTAATCTATGATTAAGTATATACTATATATATAATAAACACAAATCCCCAACAACAACCGGGCCTAACCCGAATTTGGTGTATATTTTTTTAATATCGACATAAGTATTTCAACACAGTTATTCAAACCGTTTGTCACGTCATTCGAAAAGACCAGTTTTCGACGAGTCTCGAGCACGAACACAACCGTTTAACACAACGGGCATTTGGGTTCGTTCGAGTTCGAACAACCAATTCGCAACAACCCTTTGTTGCACGAACTGATTTACAGACTAGAGGTGTTCCTCGTATTCAGGTTAGTTTGCAGCCCACCCTAAATGCAAATTCTTTTTTACAAATATGACATTTGGTCTCCCTTGGTTGAAGTTGAGTTCCACTTTAGCCCCAGAAATTCTGCCATTGCATGCCAATTATTTGGCTGATATAATTCCTCGATAAAATAAATGTAATACTGTATTCTATGATTTAAAAGGTGTACATCTCACCGGTTATAATGTAAAAAAATTGTTTTAGAAGGGAAAGAGGACTCTAGTCTTAGCAGAAGAGAAAATAATGCTTAGTGCCATAATACCCACAATTTTACCTACTTAAACCTAAATGTGGTGTTAGGTTGCATTATCTCTTCCAATTCTTTATATAAAAAAATAACCTAAATAAGTAGTAACAATGACATAAATAATGTGTAGGGCCATTAAAAAAATCCAAAGTAATACAATCGAGTCAAATGCAAATCCAAATCCAAATCCAAATTTTTATATTCTAAAATGCCACTTTCTTTAAGCAAAATATAATACCATTTGATGACTGTCAGTGAATACAAAGCATCATAATTCAATCTCTCCTCTCTCTCAATAGAGGAGTGAATGAAGAAAAAAGACAAACGATGGGGAAATTTAAGTGCCTGATTGATATGTCTTAATAGTAATATATTTTAATTTAAAAGTGAGATCTTGATCTGATTAGTCAATTTTAAATTGGGATACAAAAGGTGAGCTGCGATGTTTATCAATAATGTGTTTGTATAATGGGGGTTTGTTTTTTCTCCCATTCACATTTAAAATCTTAATAAATAGAAAAGTAATAATATATATAAGTGCCGTCCAGCTCAGCTTAGACTATTAGGTCAAACTATAGTGGTTTTTGGTGTATTAGACAATCATTATTATAGATGAACTTGCATGTGATTGTATACTTGTGTCACATTCAGCAATTATGTTTGACGGTGGGTGGAACGATTGCAAACTCCTAGAAAAAAAAAAAAATTAATAGAGGAATAATACAAAGTTCCATTTGGGGTTTGTCATGAATTTTAAACTTATTCTATAGTCTAATATTAACTATTTGATTAAATAAATAATTTACTAAGAGAATTTAAAAAAGATTTTTGTGTTCAAAAGGTCATTGGCTACCAATGGATTATAATTCACTACTTATTTTTAATGACACTTAAAAGTTTGGATTTATGTACTCTGTCTATATAAACTTTTAATTATTTTTAATTTTAAATAAAATCTTGATTCATTAATATTAATTATTTTTTAATATATTTGTTTTGAAATAAACTTCACATTTATTAAGTCCTTGATTAGTGCATGAATGTTGATATTATGGTTAGAGATTATGAAATGCTTCAATTTGAAGTTCTCTTTTGGTATAAATCAATGAGATACTCAGATTTTGGATCCTGTCTATAATCATTATGAGATATGAAATTAATTAGGTAGCTTCTTTACTCACTTTGACACATAAAGTAACAAACAACTAAATATTAGAGAAAGTAGTTGACATGTGAACTTTTATGTTTTGATCCTCGTCAACTCCACTCAATGAAAGAATATGGGCAGTGTTTGTTCCCTATTCAAAATACTATTCTGTCCAATCATA